CTGAAGTGAAGGGAGGGGTGGGTGTAGCGTCAGCTTCTAGGAGTTGGGTTTTGCTGAAGTGCTGAAATGAAGGGAGGGGTGGGTGTAGCGTCAGCTTCTAGGAGTTGGGTATTGCTGAAGTGCTGAAATGAAGGGAGGGGTGGGTGTAGCGTCAGCTTCTAGGAGTTGGGTATTGCTGAAGTGCTGAAGTGAAGGGAGGGGTGGGTGTAGCGTCAGCTTCTAGGAGTTGGGTTTTGCTGAAGTGAAGGGAGGGGTGGTTGTAGCGTCAGCTTCTAGGAGTTGGGTTTTGCTGAAGTGAGGTGGAGAGTGGGTGTAGCGTCAGCTTCTAGAAGTTGGGTTTTGCTGAAGTGTAGGGAGGGGTGGGTGTTGAGTCAGCTTCTAGAAGTTGGGTTTTGCTGAAGTGAAGGGAGGTGTGGTGTAGCGTCAGCTTCTAGGAGTTGGGTTTTGCTGAAGTTAAGGGTGGGGTGGGTGTAGCGTCAGCTTCTAGGAGTTGGGTTTTGCTGAAGAGAAGGGATGTTTCAGTTTGTAGTGTGTAGGTACTGCCGAAGTGGTTTTACTTTCTAAGGGTGGGAATTGCTGAAGTGAAGTGGGTTTCGGTTTCTAGAGGTTGGATTTTGCTGAAGTGTATGGAGGGGTGGGTGTCGAGTCAGCTTCTAGGAGTTGGGTTTTGCTGAAGTGTAGGGAGGGGTGGGTGTCGAGTCAGCTTCTAGGAGTTAGGTTTTGCTTAAGTGTAGGGAGGGGTGGGTGTCGAGTCAGCTTCTAGGAGTTTGGTTTTGCTGAAGTGTAGGGAGGGGTGGGTGTCGAGTCAGCTTCTAGGGGTTGGGTTTTGCTGAAGTGTAGGGAGGGGTGGGTGTAGCGCCAGCTTCTAGGAGTTGGGTTTAGCTGAAGTGTAGGGAGGGGTGGGTGTCGAGTCAGCTTCTAGGAGTTGGGTTTTGCTGAAGTTTAGGGAGGGGTGGGTGTCGAGTCAGCTTCTAGGAGATTGGTTTTGCTGAAGTGTAGGGAGAGGTGGGTGTCGAGTCAGCTTCTAGGAGTTGGGTTTTGCTGAAGTGTAGGGAGGGGTGGGTGTCGAGTCAGCTTCTAGGAGTTGGGTTTTGCTGAAGTGTAGGGAGGGATGGGTGTCGAGTCAGCTTCTAGGAGTTGGGTTTTGCTGAAGTGTAGGGAGGGGTGGATGTCAAGTCAGCTTCTAGGAGATTGGTTTTTGCTCAAGTGTAGCGAGGGGTGGGTGTCGCTTCAGCGTCTAGGAGTTGGGTTTTGCTGAAGTGTAGGGAGGGTTGGGTGTCGAGTCAGCTTCTAGGAGATTGGTTTTGCTGAAGTGTAGGGAGGGATTGGTGTCGAGTCAGCTTCTAGGAGTTGGGTTTTGCTGAAGTGTAGGGAGGGGTGGGTGTCGAGTCAGCCTCTAGGAGTTGGGTTTTGCTGAAGTGTAGGGAGGGGTGGGTGTCGAGTCAGCTTCTAGGAGATTGGTTTTGCTGAAGTGTAGGGAGGGGTGGGTGTCGAGTCAGCTTCTAGGAGATTGGTTTTGCTGAAGTGTAGTGAGGGCTAGGGTGTCGAGTCAGCTTCTAGGAGTTGGGTTTTGCTGAAGTGTAGGGAGGGGTGGGTGTCGAGTCAGCTTCTAGGAGTTGGGTTTTGCTGAAGTGTGTCTGTTTCCAGGAGTTGGTTATCGCTGAAGTAAAGGGAGGTTTCAGTATGTAGGGTATGGGTACTGCTGAAGTGAATGTGTCAGTTTCTATGGGTTATGGGATTGCTGAAGTGAAGTCGGACATTAACCTGTGATGGGAGCAGTGAAGGGGGGTGTCAGTTTCTATGGGTTATGTGATTGCTGAAGTGAGGTCGGACATTAACCAGTGATGGTAGCAGTGAAGGGGTGTGTCAGTTTCTAGCGGTGGGCAATTTCCTCTGTGAAGAGGGTCAGTTAACACTTGTCAGTTAACATGAGCAGTTGAAGAAGGTGCACGAGTTGTCCACGATGGAGGTACTGATACATTTTGGCCGTTTTTACTACTTTTTCAGCATAAATGTCCCTTGGCTAGGTTAGGACGATCCAAAATGACATCGGAAAATTTCTTTGAATTTCAGTCGAAAAGGAACAAATAAGGCCACAATAAATTGAGATTTGTATTCATTGGTTTTGCATAATGTGAGGCTTAATGCATTTTATTTGTGTGTATATATTTTTAAAGAAACTGCTCAGTGCATCTGTGTACATTAACTGTCAATGTGATTCACATGGATGTTTCACCCGTGAAGATCTGGGTTAGATTAAGTCTTCAGCAATCCATGCTTGCCGTAAAAGGCGACCATGCTTGTAAGATGCGACTAACAGGAACGGGGGGTCAGGCTCGCTGACTTGGTTAATGCATGTCATCATATCTCAATTGCGTAAACTGTGCTCATGATTTCAATCACTGGATTGTCTGGCCCAGACTATTATTTACAGTCATATAGCCGCAATACTGCTGAGTGCGGCGTTAAACAACAAACAAACAAACACATGAATGTTTACTAGAACTGCGTAGGTAGTGTAATTTGTCAAGTATTACACACAGCATCTTTCCAGGTGCTTGAGCACAATGAGGTATTGTAAGATGGGATTTATGGTAGTGAAGCAAGCAGGAGAAGACAAGCTAATGTTAAGTTTATTATGGCCAAATGGGTTATTGGTAAAAGTAAAACTCTATCTATTTAGGTCTCTAAAATGAGGGAGAGAATGTTGGTTTACATTAGACCACAGTCCGCACTTGTTAAACTACCTCAGAGCCCCATGAAGATCAGGGTTAGAATTGGTCTTCTGCAAAACATGCTTGTTGTAATAGGCGACCAACGGGATGGGTGGTCCGGCTCACAGACTTGGTTGATGCATCCCAAGTTCGAGGCTCATAAGGTCAATCACTAGATTGTCTGGTCCAGATGCAAATATTAACAGACCGCTGTCATATAGCTGAAATATTGCAGTATGGTGTTAAACAAAAAAACAATAACAAATAATATTAGAGGCGTGTACACCATCAAGTCTGTACCCAGCAAACCAGTTGTCGCCAGACCTGTGAAGATCCGGGCTAGAACAGGTCTTCAACAACCCATGCTTGCCGTAAAAGGCGACTATGCTTGTCGTAAGAGGTGACTAACAGGATCTGGTGGTCAGGCTCACTGACTTGGTTGATGCATCTCATCGTATCCTAATTGCCTAGATCGTTGCTCATGATGTCAATCACTTGATTGTCTGGTCCAGACTCGATTATTACAGACCGCCATCATATAACTGGAATATTGCTAAGTCCGGTGTTAAACAACAAACCAACCTTATAAAAACATGAAAGACGTGTTTGAAATTTGTTGTTTATTATAAATTTTCAGGTTGGTAAAGAAAAGTGTAGTAAAATACAGAGTTCCTGATGAAAATGACAGAAAAAACGTAATACATTGTATAAACAGTTGTGCAAAACAAGTATTATTTCTTTGAACAATATTGCTCTCACAACAATTTCACTCTCATTAACAAACAAATGCGACATAACAATTGTGTGATGGATGTAAATAGTATTGTCTTCCAAAACAAGAACAATATCACTCACACAACGGGCCACCTGTACGCAGTGCAGACGGAAACACACACAGCAAACACAGCAAACACAACATTCACACAGCAAACACAACATTCACATAAGCAAACAGTTTAGACCAGTGGACATACCATCTTGTTGACATTGAACAGTTAAATCTGCAGTCTTTCAGAGACCAATCTTATATATCAGTTGATTACAGTTTACAAAGTCAACTCATTATGTTCAGCAGTTGAAACTTATCAAAGATGTACTTCTATCATTCCTACAAACCCTAAAAATATCTGTTTCAGTCACCTTTTAAAATCCTAGTAATTTAGACAAATCATGAATTAAGGAAGAGAATATATGGATGTCAACTTCTCTATTATGAGAAACACAACGTTTCGGAGTATATGCTTACTCCTTCATCAGGTGATCTGAAAACACATGGTGAAGGAGTAAGCATATACTCCCAAACATTGTGTTCCTCATAATAAAGAAGTTGACATCCATATATTCTCTTCCTTATGTGCATCTTCTGAATGCCTTTCAAAGACCAAATCATGAATTGGAGAAATAATCCGACATCAATACCAGCTTTTTATTTTTTCCCCTGTCACGCAAGATTATCTCTGGATAAGAATTCCAAAAGAAGAAATTGGAAATAACAAGAAATTCCTATAGATTTGACAGAAACATTTTCTTGTCTGTTTCTATTGCCCTGGACTGATGTAGCTGTAGTTCTTTTGTCATGGTCATTTGCAAAACTACATGTACGTACGTACGTACGTTGTTACTCCTACATATGCTTGTACATGTGACACACAAATAAACAAACTAGAAATTGCATTTATAACTGTACTCATCAAAAGAGGCCATCATGATTAGAGAGGTTATATTTGTGTGAAATGTGTGTGTGTGTCTGTGTGAATTATCCTCTGTATCGCTTGACACAACACTTTCATACACCAACACACAATCACAACAGGTCTTTTTTATCATCTGTAAAGCGCCGACATCTTCACATCAATCAGTTATCATATACTCCAAACGTGACATTCACAAGGGCTATTAGGAAAGAATGAATCAAAGCATCAGTTTCCAGAAGAACTAAAATATCTGACATGGTAAGGCCATGCTTGGAGACTAAACATGGTAAACTGTATCCAACACAACACCAATTTAATAATAATAGTTTTTTTAATTCGGTTTAGAACATGCAGATATTTTGAGAAGTGTAATCAGAATGTAGAAATAGCTTATTAATTATAGAATTTGATACAAAATATCCTGAAAACAATCTGTTAATTAAAAAATATGATTGTGCAATCAAAATGCAATCTCATTCAAATCAGATCTTAGTTCTCGCTACAGCTAAACAAAGATCTGAGGACATCCCATTACGGCTCATGTCAGAACGACCTTGCGCGAACTTTGACCGACCAATGGAATGACCAATCAGAAGGCAGCTTTCTCGTGCTTTACGGCACTAATTTCAAATTGGCGTCTACACTTCGAAACATATTTTGACAAATTCTTGATTACTAATTTGAAACCTGAACAAAAGAACATTCTGGAATGGCTAATCGATGGTCTAGATTGGATAGATTTAGTCGTTAAACCCGTAACTATCGTTTGGAGTTAAAGTTTTCGAGGTTGCATGATTACAAATCACATTCCGACAGTCACTTTCATAATCTGGTAAGTGATGCTCTGATTGGTCGGATGAAAGGTCTTTCTGACGTGACCCCTAATGGGATGTCCTCGGATCTTTGCTTAGCGGTAGCGAGAACTGAGATCTGATTTGAATGAGACGGAAACAAAATGTTAGTTGTCAATACCTTCAGGTGCACAAGATGCAGTGTTGTCAACCTGTCAGGAAGACTTCCAATGTTCTTCATGGATGACTGATGCCACTGATTTGCTTTAATGCCTTGATATGCAAATAAATAATGTTGTTATTAACGATAAATGCACCAAGATTTATTGACAGAAAACAAACTATATAATTTGTCCTTGTTCCTCTGCATAATGCCAATGACGTGCTGTGATTCTTGTATTTGGAATGCTGTACAAGTGGTTGTCCTCCACACATAAAACTCCAAATACTTTTATTCTAAGAAGTGAAAAGGACAATTCTAGTCATCCTAGCAAAACCAAAGTGCTTTCATTTACCTAAAAAACAATCATAATAAGTTCACAGAAGTATGTCAGTTCTCTTTGGCCTTCCTTCTCTCTTTACGTTTAATGGCTGACTTCCTTGCCATTTTCAAGGTGCGAAAAATGACAAAGTCAGGCAGAAGGATCGTAACAGCACTCTGGAAAAGAAGAGATACTTGATAAGATATTATTACTATAGTCATTAGATCAGAGTGAATTCAATGTGCATCTTCAACCTGCATCTTCAACCTGCATTCTGAACTCCCTGGGGAGAATACAACACAAGATTCATGTTAAGTTGGTTGGTTGGTTTGTTATTTAACACCGCACTTAGCAATATTCCAGCTATATGACGGCAGTCTGTAAATAATCGAGTCTGGACCAGACAATCCAGTGATTGATATCATGAGCATCGATCCACGCAATTGGGATTGATGACATGCATCAACCAAGTCAGCGAGCCTGACCACCCGATCCCGTTAGTCGCCTTTTACGACAAGCATAGTCACCTTTTACGGCAAGCATGGGTTGCTGAGGACCTATTCTACCCCGGATCTTCACGGGTCTGATTCATGTTAAGCACAAGGGGGTTGCATTCGCATAACCGTCTTATCCTACTGGACACACAAAGTCATGTTTCTTGTGAGACAAGTCATGCTTCAGTGAGGCGCCTGGTTGAAGCACTGGAAACTCAAGTTGTAAGACGTATCAAAGTTGAATTCTATTTTGTTGTAGCCATAGAGAGCTATGTTGTGGGAATATGATATTGTCCTGTTCAGAAGTTTAGAAGAAGACTTTATTTTAAATTTCAGTGTTAATGGACGGATGGATAGACGAACTGACAAAAAGCTATGACAACACTTTGATGATGTCAAAGAGTGCTTAAATTCTGGTGGGAGATCCACAGTTATTTTTATATTCATTTAAGCAAAGACTGAAGGACGTATTTTGTCAACAGTGGCACCAAAGTATTTCTGAATCAGTTTATCTTAGCAATTACAGCAAAGTAAAATCATTGTTACAAACTGAAAGATATTTAACTTGTTTAAATGGTGAAAGTTTAATCAGAGCTTATTGTAAACTTAGAATTTCATTGCACAATTTTAATGCAAATATATGTCGCAGGTCCAAAGACGGTGATATTTTGAACTCTATTTGTACAAACTGTTCACCCGGAGAAGTAGAGGATGTGAATACCATGTCTTACTTACATTCGAAACGTATTCCAATTTAAGGTTTAAATTTCTCCCCATGTTGCAAGGTATTTTTAAAGACCGTCAGTTAATGATAATTCTGCTAAACTCTGAAAATCCTGGTAAGATCTATGCTGTTTCTGTATTCTTGAAACATGTCTTTATAATGAGGAATGTGTAACTTGATTTAAAATATAATCATGTACATCACGTGACAAATGTTAATATCCAATCTGCATTGTACTATGGGCCTTGATACCTAAATTACTGAATAAACTGTCTATTACTATAAATTCTGGGTTTTTTTCTTCTAACTCTATGGCTGCAACTATTTGTAACTACTACAATAGTAGTAGATTGTTAATCCGACAATCGTCTTTATCCGACACTAATGATAGGAACCGATTAAATGAGTGCTATTTAGACCTGGTAATCCAACAGTTTCGCACTCCGACTCTGACACACCTAATTTGCAACAAATTACCGAAATCACTCAATAATCAATCTCATTAATCCGACACAGTGATCAGTGTGCTTAGTGGTCAACAATCCATGAGCTCACAGCCCGTGTTTTGATGCGAGACGATTCGGCTGCTAGATGCATATTACAATGGCTGCAGAGATAAACTTAGAATAATAATAGAAGTTAAACAAAGACAATTAATGCTTTAACTAAACCAAACAGGATTAGTCACATTTTTAGATGACCTCAATCACATTAAAATCAGATGCATGTTATCGCTACTGCTGAGGACATCCCATTACAGAACGACTTTTCACAAACTTTAACCGACCAATGAAATAACCAAAATGAAGTCTACATTAGCCACAAAGAAAGCCGCTTCCTCTAGCCTGGCAAACTGGCAATTTCAATCACAGACTAAGCTTTATAAAGTATTTTGAATCAGTCATACAGCCCGTAACAGTAGTTCAGAATACCCTGTTTAAGCATTAGAGGCTGTATGATAAGAAAACATATTCCGCTTAAAACATAACATAACAAGATGAATATTTTCTTTTTCATAATCTCATTACCATCTATATGTATCGTTATTTATTGTGTAGTTGTCAAAAAAAAATTCAAAAACGTTCATACGACTTAATTTTGTTTATCCGACATACTCGTTAATCCGACATAATCATATGCAACCAACGTCGGATTAACAGGACTTGACTGTATATATTTTCCCTGACTAAGACAAGTTTATGAAAACACCGCTTTTCTTAAAACAAACTTAATTTCATAGCTCTCTTACAAACATGACGCTGCTGGCAATCTATAGCCTGTTTTTATCTTGTATCGTTATGTATAGTGCTATTCTCTTTTATAATTCCGTACTAGTTTTATATCTTTTTCTGTGATGACTCTAGTAATTCTACTGTCCTTCGTTGACAGGTTTTTATACAAGTTTCAATATATGTATTATGTTTAACTATTGATAGTCACGATATGGCTGAAATATTGCCCATGTGACTTAAAATTTTAACTCACTCACTCACTACAAACAAGACATTTGAGAAAAAGTGTGAAAAAGTACAAACCCTTAAAGATGAAACAGTTAGAAGTAGTCAATGGACACAGAAATAAAAAGGGATTTTACAACTGCTTCAAGACACTTTCTTGCATTAGCTTGGTTGGTTTGTTGTTTAACGCTGCACTCAGCAATATTCCAGCTATATGACGGCATTCTGTAAATAATCGAGTCTGGACCAGACAATCCAGTGATTGATATCATGAGCATCAATCCATGCATTTGGGATTGATGACATGCATCAACCAGCCTGACCAGCCGATCCCGTTAGTCGCCTTTTACGACAAGCATAGTCACCTTTTACGGCAAGCATGGGCTGCTGAAGACCTATTGTACCCCGGAATCTGAGCAAATGTTGTTAAAGCCTGTAGTCAGCATGTCCGACCCAGTACACCTACCTGTAACGTATGCATGAAGTAACCATTTGTGGAATTGGTAGTGCCCACAGTGGCGAGGGCAGCACGCACATACTGGTCTGGGAAGGGACAGAAGGGGTTGGACCGACGGATGCCACTCAACTTGGTGGCGACAAAGTTTGGCCTCACAGACTGAAAGAGGAAAAGAAATACTCTTCATTTTGTTGAAAAGTTACCAGTCACCCTTTCTCAAACTGATGTTGCATTTATTGTTTTATTTAGAAAATCTACCCTAACACGTTTTCTGTCTAATTTTACCTCCTGCCTTTTGGCCTATTGAGAATTATATCAGATAAACGAGACATGAAATTGCTTTAGTTCAGAAAAAACATCCTATTCATTATATCATTTGTTTTAAGAATTGAGTTCAATATGTTTTGCTTTTATAGACGTATAAACCACAGGCCCCTGAAGCAGGATAGTCATATCACTGTAACACCGAACCCATATATATAAATATCGGTAGAAAAGGTACATCACTTGCCATCTTGGCCAAAGTTGAAAACTGATCTATCATTTAAATTAAATAGAAATGTACGCATGTCATGTTCACAATACCGCCCAACCTCCCTCCACATACGTCCTGCATGCCACAAACCTTCATTTTTTGGCAATTCATTACCTACAGTGGGTGATTTTATCGAAATATTGGCTCAATCGCAGCTGTTGGTCACAGAAGTAAACAAAAAATCTCTGCGCTAAATGGTGTCGAAAGCTCTGATTGGTAAATATCACCATGTGCTTTTGTTATGGTTGGAGCGCGGACCAATCAGAGCCCTCGACGCAATTGAGTGCGGAGATTTCCTTTACTTCCTGCAGGCTATTACAAATTCCTAGTACAAGTACAAATTTCCCCATTGTTTTGACATTACAAGGGCATTTTCACCTGGGTTACAAAGCGTTTTAGACAAGTTCTAAAAGCTGACTGGGGATCAGTTCTACCCTCACATGCCCACAGACTTTTTATGAACAAGATGACAAAAGATCAAGCAATGCATCATCCAACAACAATTTTCATATTGAGCACAAGTGAAAAGCAACACCTTCATCTACCGTCATCCCTGACCCTGGGGCCTACCTGGTGAGGTGAGGTGAGGTGAAATTGGGTTTAATGTCGTATCCAAGATTATTGCACTTATATAGCGATGTGCATGCACGTGTGTGTGTGGCTGCTTGTACTAGACCGGACTGATGCCGATTTATAGTGCTAGCACACTGAGATACCATACTGCAGTTTAACATGAATACCCCACTCAGACACAGTATACTGACTCCGAGCCGACCAGTCATTGTTTTAGCCCCTTAATGCCGAGCGCCAGACAGGGTAACAACAAGTACCATCTTTTAACGTCTTTAGGTATGATGCGGCCGGGGATCGAACCCCAGACCTTCCGCTCTCCGGGCGGACGCTCTACCACAAGACCACTGGGGCGGTCAGGACCTACCTGGAATGTGATGCCTCTAGAACCATACTCAATCTGGAGTGCTTTAGTGAAGTAGTCCATGAACACCTGCAAGTGGAACCAGGCACTGTAACATCCTTGTCAATGGTTTTCACACAAAAATTGGTATATATGTCAATGACTTGGCCCCAAGAAATGTAATAAGTCAATGGAAAAAGTCAAAGACACAAAACACAAAAACTGCCTATGCCATGTGCTTACAAATCAGCAAAAATGGCAGAGGAACCAGAACAACAAATCAAAGCAATACCCTTCGTGATTGGAGTAATAAGTACGATCTGTCCAATGAACGTGGCGAAAAGAAAAGTGCTTGACAAAGTCACTATAGCTAATGGCAGTGTTTTCCTATGATACAGAAAGTACGATGCAAAGACACACGCTGCTCAGAATTTCAATAATGATTTTTGATGGCAGTTCATTGTTTTATTGAATTGATAAAGTAAGCAGGACTAATCCTTAATATTTACTTTTCAATTATCGAATCATGAAACAAGTGACACCTTGCTTCTCGTTTCTATCAGTCAAAAGTCTGACTACTAAAACAAACTGTACACTACATCACACAATCGGATATACGCACACTGGATATGTGGGTTAGGCATAATGCCACCCGGTCTGTAAATAATTGGAAATGATCCACAATGCCTGGTTTCAGGATACGATGACACCCTATCAACCAAATCACCGAGCCTGACATCCTATCATCAAGTCACCTCTCACCACCATGGGTTTCTTGAGGCCTATTCTCTCACAGAATAACCATTGGGATTAACTTATCTGAGTGAGTGAGTGAGTGAGTTGGGTTTAACGCTGCTTTTAACAGTATTCCAGTTATATCGCGGCGTGTCAGCTTAATGTGGGAGGAAAGCCCGAAGTGATGCAGGTCTCAGACGTTAACCACTTCGGTGAAACCCACGAGCACGGGTATGGTGCTGACAAACCTAGAAACATAATCGGGGCGAACCGGGATTCGAACCCACAATCATAGGTTTCTGGCGTGCCCAAGGGACGCAACTCTGCACAGCGAATCGCGGCGCCTTAGACGACTGGGCCACCCGTGCCCCCTTTAACTTATCTGAAGACAGGGGTCAATTTAACTGCTGACCCGTTGGACCGTGGCCAGTTCAAATTACAAAGGGCTTGCTGAAACAAGTAGATGACCCGTCTAGCTAGCCATCTCTGTGTATGTTTAATTTTTTTAATTGGACCATCTCTGTAGAATGACAACCAGCAGCCATTTTGTAATGTTGTGCACAACGTCTTTATTTGTTTATAAATCACCATAAAATGAGGCAAATGGAAGCCTAAATTTAATCTTAGTGCAAAAACATTTTAGGGGTGAGGAGTGCTAAACTTTCAGAGCCCTTCTTGGTGGCTAACCGACATCAGGTTGGGCCACTTCGCAGCCTCCACCATTTAGTTGTCAGTTTGGAGAAGGGCCAGTAACTTTTAAAGGGGCAAGCCCTGCTGGCTACATACAAATTTGTTGTTAAATCTACCCCTGTGAAGACATTAACATACACCAGATATAGTAACCTATTTCTATTCAAATGTGCCACTGGGCACTCATACGATGCTTGGATGTGCCCTTTGGAACTTAGGCATGCCAAATATATACATTTGATCAATCTTCGAGTTGGCAAAATTCTCTTCACCAGGAGCTAGCTTCAGATAGTAAATAAAAAATATTTCTAATTATGAATCTCTTTTATTTCAGAAACATACTGTGGCTTAATTTTGGGATTCAAAACCATGATCAGCAGATCCGGGCATGGCTAAGGGACACAACTCTGAAAGCCTCGACCACTTGGGACAGTGCCCCTTGGCGAACATAGAATATTGAACACAGGTTACCTTGGTGGCAGAGTATAATGCGAGAAGTGGCAAAGGCCTCTCTGCTGCTGATGACGCAATGTTGATGACGTAACCACGGCGACGCTCTGCCATGCCTGGTGCCACAATGCTGCTCATCTGGAAAGTTTACAGAAAATAACATCTAATGTTTTACTTTGACAATGAAAGAACTTAGGTCAACATCAATTTCTGTACTAACTGAAACAGATGTCATAGTGAATAAAGTTAAATGATAATAAATACAATAAGTCATGTGGAAACTAGTATCTGTCCATGCCCACATCATGGTGAACTTGGTGAATATTAAGCTGCATTGAAAGAGATACAATAAGCCTTTTGGAAACTATTACCTTTCGGAGCACACATCATGGTGAACTTGGTGAATATTTAGCTGAATTTTAAGAGATACAATAAGTCCTGTGGAAACTATTATCTGCTAGAGACATGCATGACAAGAAACTTACCATCACCATTGACAGCATATTGCAGTTCAACATATCTTTAACCATCTGCAATGTAAATATGCGTTAGTGTATGGAAAAGACCAAAATAAAAACAGTGCCACAGCACTGTAGCTCACCTGGACATGAAGTCAACAGTCGAAACTGTCAACAAAAGCAGCCACTTCAACATTACCTGCTGTCAAATATTTCCTGCATAAATACAAAAGTCTATTGATTTAAAAAAAATATGATAACATCATAACAAGAAAAAGGCTGTGCAAAGGTCAAATCACGGTCAAAATCTAAAACATTTCGAAAATGGAATATGTCTTGAGACCCACTACCAAGCACACAAATACTCCATTTCATAACATTTGAGTATGGTTTTTATGCCGCTTTTAGCAATATTCCAGCAATATCACGGCGGGGACACCAGAAATGGGCTTCACACATTGTACCCATGTCGGGAATCGAACCCGGGTCTTTGACGTGACAAGCGAACACTTTAGCCATCAGGCTACCCGACCGCCCCACATCATAACATTTGGAAAGAAAATGGCCGAGTAATGGTGTGAGGGGTTTCAACTTTCAGTGTGGTCTAAGTGCAAAGGTCAAGTCAATGTCAAAATTTAAAATATCACAAAAAAAGAACATGTAATTTGAAACCTTCTACTAACTACAGTTAACTATGGTTATAACAAAATCAAAGGGACCATTATTTTTATTTTGTTATAAAAGTAGTTCGTTATAAGAATATATACAGCATATAAACAGGAGACCAAAACAAAAGGTTTGTTATGTACATCAGTTCATTATAAGCATGTTCGTCATAAACATAGTTTACAGTAGACATGTACCAAATTTCATCACATTTTGAACAAAAATGGATGGGAAATCAATGGCCATAAATAGTTTTTTCAATATGGCAGCCGAGGCACCTCACAAGTTCTGTTTGTTCGTTTGTTGTTTAGTCCTGCAATATTCTAGCTTTATATTCGCAGCCTATAAATAATTAAGACTGGACAAGACACTCCAGTTACTGATATTATGCGCAACTATACAAAACTAACTCAGAATCCACATTTGGCTTTGGTCGACAAAGACTAGCAGCTACAACCACAGATTGCAGTTGAGGACACAATGAGTACGTTATAGACACTATACCCCGTAGTCCAAGACCGGTGTAAACTTTCTTTCACAAGCCCTGCTTGAACAAGACAAAGATATTGACTGCTTACTTTTTCTGTCAGGTTCATTCAGCATGGAGAATTGGTACAGAATTATAGCCTTCGGACGTTACTAGTCAATGAGGACAACCATCAGTGGAAGTTTACTGGTCCTCAGCACAAGTCAGTACTTGTAGTCTCGGGGTAGCAGAAAAGTGTGAATTTGGAAGGCTGTCCTTGTGGGGACATACTGAGCCAGTGGAATGTTTTGTAGACTTGGGCTTTTTACTATAGGGAAGAAATCATTGGTCAAGCGATGCATGTAAAATAACAAGGTTTCCATCTTTGCCAAGAAAGGGAGTTGACAGACTGTAAAAGTCCAGTTTCCACCCTTGACGAGCAAGGCCGAACTTGAAAAGATTAGGAAAATATCTGTACACATGATTTGCAAATCCTGCAATCGACCGAAATCTGCACGGAAGTTTCCAAACCGGATGTTGATTTCGTTACACAAATTTAATTGGACTATGCATACACTTGTTAGTCCAGCCAAAATAGAACTCCACAATTCCAGCCTAGTTCGGCAAAGGTGGAAACTGGACTTTATTGTCCGCTAACTCCCTTTCCTCGGAAGGATGCAAGGTTTCAGGATAACATAACTAGTCTCCCTAGATCTTCACGGACCTGTGTCTGAAAGTATTCCTGGACTACAAGGACTAGTGGCTACAACCACAGATTGCTGAAGTTAAGGACACAGTGAATAGGCTTAGTTTGTCTTCAGCGTGACCAGTCTATGTATTAATCAGTCAGCTTCCCCACTGTCCCAGACTGTGGGGGCATATATTACGTAAGGAAACTGTATTACCTTCTCTAAGTTGGGTATGTCAAAGAAGTACTCTGGAAGTTCATAGGCCATGCCAACATTGTTCACTGAAACACATTAATACAGATGACAATAGAAAGTTTTCACCAGGCACTGGAGGTGAAACAATACATCAGTGCACTAGTGCATCGTGATTTTTCATGCGCTTATACAATGTTTTTTTTCTGTATCAATACCAGACGATATACTTGATGAGGTACATTACTGCTCGTTTAATGACCTCTAGCGTTTTTGTTAGTCAAAAAGCGTAAAAAGGTGTTTTGTCATTAGGCTCACAACTAAAAATACCCGCAACAAACATGTGTCTACAGCTAGCTTTTCCATTTTAACCTGCTCTGAAATATTAATAGTCAAGAAGTATCGATGCGATTTGACGTAAATATGCATATCGTGATATGCATCATATAGTGACCTTGTTGTATCCTTTCACCCTATACTACCCTCACAGACATATCATGTAAGCAAGATCAGAGCTCCAGATAAGCTGCGTATCTGCATAAAATACGCATCAAAAATGCAGAAATATGCAGTAAAATAAATACCAAGCGTATCAAATACGCAACAAACATTACAAAAATCAAACTTGTGCGTATCATGAAAATATTGTGAGGTAACCCTGCGTATTCGATTAGCAAATCAGCAACTTATTTTGAAATTATAATCGGACATTCCGTCAACCTTGCCAAACTCCACAATGACACTTACATCATGATCATTTGCCATCACACTTTCTTGTGGAAGTACTGTGGTATATTTTAGTCCTATAAAGCTCTCGAACCAACAAGACACCAGTTTGCAGGGACTACGAGATGAAAAGTATTTTTTAAATATTTAACTTAAATACCCCCATGTGTAAAAACTAGTGGGTAACAGAAATTTGAATACCCAGATAGAATTACTGATACCCAATGATCTTAAAATGCATGGGTAAAATACCCACAACACGAAAAGCTTATCTGGAGCTCTGAAGATGGCCCAGGTTGACACCATATCCAACTACTCCACAGACTCGATCATGAATGCATAAAATAACTAGATTTGGTGAGAATGCAGCACTCAGCAATATTCCAGTTGTGACAACCACCTGTAAATAATCCAGTCTGGACCAGACAAACCAGTGATTGATACTACGGGCAATGATACATTGCTGTTGGGGTACAATGGCACGCAATCAAGCAAGTCACAGATCCTGATCACCTTATTCATCAAGTTGCCCAGTACAGATTACAGGGAACCATTATTCTAACCCGGAGTCACCACGCAGCTTCATTTTTTTAAAACATGACACTTTTTATGAACAGCAACTTTTTTTATTCTTTATCACGATGTTTCAGAGATACTCCTTGCTCCTTCATTAGGTTATTGTTTCAGAAAGAACAGTGAGTGAGTGAGTATGGTTTTACGCCGCTTTTAGCAATATTCCAGCAATATCACGGCGGGGGACACCAGAAATGGGCTTCACACATTGTACCCATGTCGGGAATCGAACCCAGGTCTTCGGCGTGACGAGCGAACACTTTAACCACTAGGCTACCCGACCGCCCCTCAGAAAGAACAGATTAAACCATGTTAGGGTTGATATATAATGATTCTACAATTTTGCATAAGGACCTATCGTTGCATCAGTTTTACTATAAGGGTGAAGCTATTTTTCAGGGCATTATCATTTGCAGAAGTATGAGGTCTTCCATTAATTGCCCGACAAAAGAGGGCAGTTGAAAAGACCGATGGCTTCTGCAAATGATAATGCCCTGAAAAAAAGCGTTACCGTTATTATAGCTAAAATGGATGGAATTTGTTATCAAATAAAAAGAAACAACCATATGGGTTTTGAAACATTTACTGCAATCTACACGAATGTCACTGACCCACTTTTAAAAACCAGATGACGTCACTATTGAACATGACAATAGGCGTGATATTGGCCTGTCGTCAAGCAATATGAGGGCATTATCAAGTTACAGTGGACCACTCATTTCTGATAACATGTGGGCGGTTTAATGATAATTCTATCCATTTTAGCTATAACTGTTAATATAAAGGTTAACAATGGCCAGTGAATTCCTGGCTCAGAATCAACTGCAACATCACTAGTGACGTCATCATAATGCTATAACTACACCATGGCCAGTGAATTCCTGGCTCAGAATCAACTGCAACATCACTAGTGATGTCATCATAATGCTATAACTACACACTGGCCAGTGTATTCCTGGCTCAGAGTCAACTGCAACATCACTAGTGACGTCATCATAATGCTATAACTACACCATGGCCAGTGTATTCCTGGCTCAGAATCAACTGCAACATCACTAGTGATGTCATCATAATGCTATAACTACACCATGGCCAGTGAATTCCTGGCTCAGAATCAACTGCAACATCACTAGTGATGTCATCATAATGCTATAACTACACCATGGCCAGTGAATTCCTGGCTCAGAATCAACTGCAACAACACCAGTGACGTCATCATAATGCTATAACTACACACTGGCCAGTGTATTCCTGGCTCAGGATCAACTGCAACAACACTAGTGACGTCATCATAATGCTATAACTACACACTGGCCAGTGAATTCCTGGCTCAGGATCAACTGCAACATCACTAGTGACGTCATCATAATGCTATAACTACACACTGGCCAGTGAATTCCTGGCTCAGAATCAACTGCAACAACACTAGTGATGTCATGCTATTGTTGCAGCTGATTCTTGATGAACCAGGATCTGAATCCACACTCCTAGGTTTCTGACACACCAAAGGGATGCCCCCGGGTTACAGGGCCAGCTGGGCCTCCATTTATTTTGAAAAATACAGTTTGTTGGTTGGTTTGTTGTTTAACGCCGCACTCAGCAATATTCCAGCTATATGACAGCGGTCTGTAAATAATCGAGTCTGGACCAGACAATCCAATGATTGATATCATGAGCATCGATCCACGCAATTGGGATCGATGACATGCATCAACCAAGTCAGCGAGCCTGACCACCCGATCCTGTGAGTCGCCTTTTACGACAAGCATAGTCGCTTTTTACAAGCATGGGTTGCTGAAGACCTATTCTACCCTGGAATCTTCACAGGTCTGAAAAATACAGGTCATCAAAGTTGACACAAACTCTAAAACTGTAACAAGGAAGAGTATGAACTGACCGAGTGTCCCTATTTCCAGACCCTGGAGCTCCCTCTCGATCCGCGAGTAGATGTCGGGCCGGGTGAAGTCCACCGCAATCACTCGAGTCTGGATGTGATACCTGCTCTCTGCAAGACAACAACATTTAAGACAGAGAAAAATGGGATTTCTTAAGTTTCTTAGTTTCCTAAATTCTTAAAACCTTTCTTCCTCTATTGGTCCTGTAATCAGTGAAACACACGTCACCCATAAAACACTGATCCAGAGGAGGGGTCCAGGGCTCCAGAGGAGGGGTCCAGGGCTCCAGAGGAGGAGTCCAGGGGGTCCGGACACCACACACCTCCACTACCCCAACCCACCCACCCACCGACACCCCTTTTGAAAACAATATGTAGGCTGTAGGCACTGGCAGTAAAATTGACTGACAGAGGACTTTGATATGTTGGACTCCTTCCTTTTAAATATGCTCGATCTGCCCTTGTAACGTCATAACATGAGTTGGGAATCTTCAAATTTAATTTGGGAATATATACAGACTTTGCTGCAGACTTGGGGCCGAAATTAAGTCTGTAAGCAAGTCTTGATAAATCTTGGCTAGTATTGGCAAAATCGTATATGGGACCTATTTTGTCCCGCATTCAGGACAGATTGATTACATATTTTCTTCCATTCGACATTATCAATGCCATTGCTTTGAAAAATAGCAGGACTTCTTGTGTCATGGCATCTGTTTAGACTTACTTTTGTTCTTGTTTGGCCAACATTTTGGTCTACTAAGCATTATCAACATCAAAATATCTACAATGAAGAGGTCATGACACAGTCTACTGATTTCAGTTATTCATGTTTACAGCCAAAGAGACTTCTTTATTTCAGACAGGATGTTACAAAGAACATCATGAAGATTTGTGGTACAGTAAACTACGGTTATAACGAACTTACTTATAACGAACTGACGGATATAATGAACTTACTTTTTTAGTCCTGACTATTTGCTGTAGTTATGCTGTATATATGCTTATAACGAACATGCTTATAACGAACTGACAGATATAACGAACTGACGGATATAATGAACTTACTTTTTTGGTCCTGACTATTTGCTGTAGTTATGCTGTATATATGCTTATAACGAACTGACGGATATAACAAACTGACGGATATAACAAAATTACTTTTTTAGTCCTGACTATTTGCTGTAGTTATGCTGAATATATGCTTATAACGAACATGCTTATAATGAACTGTCGGATATAACGAACTTACTTTTTTGGTCCTGACTATTTGCTGTAGTTATGCTTATAACGAACTACGGTTATAATGAACTAAAATTAGTAGTCCCTTTGAGTTCGTTATAACCACAGTTTACTGTACTTACATTTACTGATCAATGACTGAACAAGTCATTTGAAATAAATATTGGGAATTTGTTTGTTTCTCAGCAACAAAATAATGCCTCATCTTCACTGTGACTAGGGTATGCAAATTGTTTGCTAATGAATATTTCTCTTTGACAGTTGAATACCCAATCCTTAAAGAACAATGATAGCAGGTCTTTGAAAGGCATTTAGAAGAGATACACATAAGAAAGAGAACATATGGATGTCAACTTTATCATGCGTTCCTCATAATAAAGAAGTTGACATCCATGTACTCTCTTCCCAATGACAGCAGCTTGATAAATGAATCACAGTGACTGATAATTACTTGTGTAATCAAGCCAGGAAGAGTGAGTGAGTTGGGTTTAACGCCGCTTTTAACATTATTCTAGTCATATCGCGGCGTGTCAGCTTAATGTCGGAGGAAAGCCCGAAGTGATGCAGGTCTTAGACGTTTACCACTTCGGTGAAACCCACGAGCACGGGTATGGTGCTGACAAACCTAGAAACATAATCGGGGCAAACCGGGATTTGAACCCACAATCACAGGTTCCTGGCGTGCCCAAGGGACGCAACTCTGCACATCAAATTGGGCGCATTAGACGACTTGGCCACACGTGCCCCCCAGGCCAGGAAGAAGCCCAGACACAATGGCTGTGTAGGAAGCAGGTGTCAGTGAATGTCACAACATTCAGTATGGCAAACCAGCAGTAGAAACTAACACTTTTAGCCCACTAGTCCTTATGATAACATGTAGCAAAAACCCTTACAAATGGCAAATTTCTACTGGTCCTTATGATACTTAGCTATTAGGCAGTTTTGTAAGGATTATAGGACTAGCGCTGGCAAACATACCAAACTACAAAGCTTCCTGTGGTACAGCCAATGTTAGAGTCCTGGGTCCCGTTCCACAAAGTGATCTTAGCGCTAAGTCAATCGTAACTCCCATTCTTTAACACTGACTTATGACAATCGTAGCGCTAAGATCGAGTTGTGGAACGGGGCCCTGGTGTTATAATTCTTACCCAATTCTTTGGCAAGATCATCCAGTTTGGACTGGGTCCTGCTAATCAGTACAATATTGAGGCCTTTCTTCGCCAACTGAAAACATACAAAAACACAATGTATTCATGTATTTCAAACTTAGCGCTCCTGGCAATTAAAAACAATATTTTGTCCAAACTTAGGAATGTTTCAGAGGTCATAGGTATTTTTTTAAATTCACAAGTATTTTGTACATATAGCACTCGATGCAAATCTGCACAAGAATTAAAGCCCTTCAGTACACTGGGGCCTCCACTGCAAAAAGAGTAAGTGAGTACGGTTGTACCCAAGAGGGAAATCAAACCTGGGTCTTCAGTGTGACGTGCGAACGCTGTAACCACTAGACGACCCCACCGCCCCCTTGCACAAAAGGATATTATTACACCAACATGGACTTTAGCTTGATACAAATGTTCCTCTGTATATATTGTTTACCTGCTCTGTGTATGCCTTTCCAATACCATCTGTGCAGCCTGTCACCACTACAATAGAACAAAGAAGGTAGGCACATGAAACGCAATAATAGATGTCACACAGTTGAACATGTAGTAGTGAGTGAGTTGGGTGTAACGCCACTTTTAACAGTATTCCAGTTATATCACGACATGTCAGCTTAATGTGGGAGGAAAGCCCGAAGTGATATAGGTCTCAGACGTTTACCACTTCGGTGAAACCCACGAGCACGGGTATGGTGCTGACAAATCTAGAAACATTATTGGGTCGAACCAGGATTCGGAACCACAATCATAGGTTTCTGGCGTGCCCAAGGGACGCAACTCTGCACAGCAAATCATGGCGCCTTAGAAGACTGGGCCACCCATGCCCCCTGAACATGTAGTAACTTCAATCAAGAAATGTTGTCGATGATGAAGCACTCATCAATCTTTATTTCTTAATCATCATTTTAGTATCTTTACCAAAGCATTGTTCAAAAAAGGTGTGTCCTTGGATCCTGGATGTTTGATCCTTTACTACTTGAACTAATGACCTTTTTCTTAAGCATTAACATGACATACATTAGGGTGATGACAAGGGTTCCTGTGAAAATCCGGGCTAATATTGGACTTCAGCAACCCATGCTTGTCATAAAAGGCAACTAACAGGGATTGGGTGGTCTGGCTGGCTGACATGGTTCATGCAATTTATCATCGTATCCCAATTGTGTGGATCGATGCTCATGATGTCAATCACTGGATTGTCCAGTCCAGACTTGATTATTTACAGACTGTTGTCATATAGCTTGAATACTGTCGGGTGTGGCATTAAACAACAAACAAAATATGACAAGGCCCATGGATTTCCATGCTTAATTGTGCACATTGTATTGTCAGCTACATCACTTTACTAAGAAGACAGCAGGGCTCCAGCTAAGCTTTTGGTGTTGTGGGTATTTTACCCATGCATTTTAAAATCATTGGGTATCAGTAATTCTATCTGGGTATTCAAATTTCTGTTACCCACTAGTTTTGACACATTTCATCAAAACACTATTCATCTAGTCACTGCAAACTGGTGTTGTGTGGGTTCGAGAGCTTTATAGGACTCAAAACTACCAGGATACTTCCACAAGAAAGTGTGATGGCAAATGATCATGATGTAACTGTCATCGTGGAGTTTGGCAAGGTTGACAGAATGCCCATTTATAATTTCAAAATAAGTTGCTGATTTGTTAATCGAATACGTAGGGTTACTTCACAATATTTTGATGATATGCACAATATTTATTTTTGTCGCGCATCTGTAATGTTCGTCGCGCATCTGTAATGTTCGTTGCGTATTTGATACAAGTATTTCTGCATTTCTGATGCATATTTTACGCAGATACGCAGCTTATCTGGAGCTCTGAGACAGTCTTCAGAATCAATTGCAGTGTTCAAATTTCAGCCAGGTAAGATCCAACTCGCTAATTCAGATTTGCCAGATACATTAAATGAAAAGATTACTGAATCTGTCCTTGATTATTTTACTCTAACTCAATCTCATTAAAATCAGATCTTAGTTCTTGCTACCGCTGAACAAAGATCTGAGGACATACGGGTCACGTCAGAACGACCTTTCGCGAAATTTTGACCGACCAATGAAATGACTGACAAGAAATCGACATTAGCCAATCAGAAGGCAGCTTTCTCGAGCTTTACAACACTCGTTTCAAACTGGCGACTACGCTTCGAAACATATTTTGACGTATTCTCGATAAAAAAAATTAAAACTGATAAGAAGAACATTCTGGAATTGCTTATAGATGGCCTAGATTCTATGGATATAATCATAAAACTCGTAACTGTCGTTCGGAATACCCCGTGTTAAATATTTCGTGGTTGCATGATTAGAAAATACATTCCAACTGTCACTTTCATGATCTGGTAAGCGACGCTCTGATTGGTTGGATGAAAGGTCATTCTGACGTGACCCTTAATGGGATGTCCTCAGATCTTTGTTTAGCGATAGCGAGAACTAAGATCTGATTTTTATGAGATTGACCCTAACTAATCACTTTAATAGCTTATAAGTGTTACATGTTTATACAAAACATAACAAAAGACAATTACATTTTGCATAGATTACATTTTACCACCTTAGTTGAGCAATAATACAACTTAGAATATGCATATTATAATTATCTATAGTGTGTTATATCATCTATAGCAAATGGGATGGAAACCATGGTTATTTCACAGTTCCACTTGTCTCAATAGTTTTTTACTACTTCCAGCAAAAGGGGTACTGTCTAGCGACCAGTTGTGCTACACTTTTCGTGTTATTTCTGAATTTTGCGTGTTAAAAGCTAACTCAACCAATAGCTTTGTTTTTTTGTGAAACTGAGTGAATGCGTTTATTTATGTCTGTGGAAAAACGGGACGAGGGGGAATCAAATTAGTGGAAATAGAACTTTCCCGTTGACTAATTGTACCAGTTATCACCATCGTTGAAACAGCAGGTGTCACGTGTCGAACTAGCAATGTGCAACACATTACTGTAGGGGCGTTTTCGTCACCTAATGAACTATGAAAGTCTACATATATTTGACAGTGCATTAGTTTAACCTTCACAGATCATAGAACCGTCCTACATTAGTTTGACTTCCAAGACTAATCTATTGTGACTTATTTTCGGAAAGGAGTTTCTAGAACATGGTCTGCCTAACAACAGGATAGATGCTGCGACTTGAGTTAAGAGTTACCTGCCCATGGCCCGGCTTTCGTCACGTCTGCAGACAATCCAAGCGCTGGTCCCAAGAAATGCTCTGTCAGGAACTGATATACCCATCTGAATGTTTTGAAAGCAATGTAGGCTGCCGCAAGAGCACCCAGTACAGAAAAACATTCGTTATAAGCTCCAAAGTACGACTGCATTGCTGACGCCATGTTTGCTTGCTCACGCTATTGAGGTCAAAGGGCACCCAGTCATGTGATCACAAGTTCTCAATGCAGTCAAGCTCCAAACAGTGCGTCGTCGACGAGATCTCTGTTCGACTGTCCAGACGTGAATGATCATGTTTAATAAACGATATAAATGAACAATGGTATAATACATTTCCCGGGCAGTCAATATGGGGGGTAATTAATTGAGGAGAGCAACAGTTGTGACACCAGTTAGCAGACAGATCGGTAACATATTATTCGTGGGAAATTAAAAAAAGGCATATAACTAAATATAATATAAAAAACAAACAAACTCGAAGACGAGAAGGCCGAAGGCGTATGGTGTGTTGCTATAACTGTCAAATCACACAGCGATATAATGCAATCCGATACGTTTATTACTCGCAAATGATGATATGGAATATATGCCTATAAAAACGCACGCGATAAAAAAAAACAGTCTGGCGACACAACCTGAATACTACTAGATCAAGCTTTTATTCCAAAACAAGCCATTCTCCGAAATCATATCTATTCGAAAACATCCTTTCATAGGGTGATAAGTGTATGCGATGAAACAAATGTAGTTTTCCTCGAGGAAGAGGTGGTTATTTTAAATTAATCTAGGAAATATTCGCCAACCTGTAAAATAAAACAGTTCACTTCTGATAAAAAAAACTATATTCGCCGAATGCTGAGGAATGCATATTAATTTTTTTTTAATTGAGAACACCTGTAATTAAATTCTCATCAAGAAATACAGGTCAAAGTCGATCACCCTGTCTTAAGTATATTCAGCGAGAGCCAATCAAAACTCTACTGAACCGACCAATGAAAACTCTCATATGCAAATTAAGTTGCCAGAGCGCGCACTTCAACTATCGTCTGCCATCCAACTTCCGTGCAACCTCTGCGCAACGCTGAGTTGCATTACTTCTACAATTACCTCTTAATAACTGAAATTATTTGTCTTAGTGCCATGTATTCTTAACAACATTCATGCTTGGAGCCTACACAACAGGGACAGCCACGGCTCCACGAAACTGACCAACGCGGGTGCATCGTAGACAAGGCATACAGTTTCCATCACCCGCTATCAAAGGTTAGTGTTTTAACTGTCATAATGCTATAAATATGTAATATTTTTTTAACGATTTTTTATTCAGTTCAAGGGGTACACAGCAATGTACACATGTTCATAGTCATCGTATAACAAGAGGTATTAAATTACAGTGAGTGAGTTTGGTTTAACGCCACTTTTAACAGTATTCCAGTTATATCACGGCGTGTCAGCTTAATGTCGGAGGAAAGCCCGAAGTGATTCAGGACTCAGACGTTTACCACTTTGGTGAAATCCACGAGCAAGGTTGTGGTGCTGACAAACCTAGAAACATAATTGGGGCGAACCGGAGATTCGAACCCACAATCAAAGTTTTCTGGCGTGCCCAAGGGACGCAACTCTGCATAGCGAATCGCGGCGCCTTAGACGACTGGGCCACCCCCATTAAATTACAAGGTAAATGTCATGAGTGAGTTGGATTTAACGCCTCTTTTAGCAGCTAGTATTTCAGTTACATCACGGCGTGTCAGCTTAACGTGGGAGGAAAGCCCGTAGTGATGCACGTTTCCCACTTCAGTGAAACTCTGGAGCACGGTTATGGTGCTGACAAACCTAGAAATATAATCGGGGCGAACCGGGATTCGAACTCACAATCTGTTCTGTTCTTCCCAAGGGACGCAACTCTGCACAGCGAAGTAAATGTCACGAGAAAAATGTACACCAGGTGACATGACAGTAAGTTAATATAACCATGTACGTTGTAATAATTGTAGGAGAAAACGATTACCTTACATTAATCTGCTCTTCTCCATTAAGCTCCACTGTTATTAAAAGAAGGGGCGGTCGGGTAGCCTAGTGGTTAAAGCGTTGGCTCGTCACGCCAAAGACCCGGGTTCGATTCCCGACATGGGTACAATGTGTGAAGCCCATTTCTGGTGTCCCCCGCCGTGATATTGCTGGAATATTGCTAAAAGCGGTGTAAAACCGTACTCACTCACTCACTATTAAAAGAAAGTATCATTATGTTCTTCTTGCAAGAAACAACTCAACATTATAAATGTCTTTCGCTAAATTTTTATATGATTTTAAACACGGTGTGGTTTGATATTTCAATATTTGCATTGAAATGCTAGTTGTTTTGTATCTATTGTAGACTTTCCATATTGTGAAAATACATGTATCCAATTAATTTGATTGTTAAATTCTTAAAGACTATGCCAACGCCCTCTGTTGACAGATTGCCCAGTCGGTTCTGGTCGAGACGGATCGGTCCGGCTAATGCCATACTGATGGGATCGAGGTGCCGTACTGTCGCGATCAGCTTGCCAATCAGGTTCAACCAGGGAAATAACTCGATTCTGATTGGTCAATCAGAGGTATCAAATCCAATTAGCCACCTCTGATTTTACGGACGCATTAAGGCGGATACTTGCATTTATATATTTTTCTCAGTCATTGTTGGTAGGTATTTTGAACAATGACATGTACAAAGATAGATAACAAACTGTTCTGCAATATATTTGTGTAACAACAACACATGGGCAGAATACAGGATAGAAATCGACTTAGGGAGTGTAAGTCAAGTTTTAGGGACAACAGAGAGCTTGAGATTTGGAGCTTTTCTGTAGTTGACTATGACTTAATATCTTTTGCGTCACCATGAGCGGTGTCAGAGCTCCACCTTGCTAAATTTTCTTGAGGAACTGCCCTTTTCGTGTCGGCTTGCTTATGAAGTAGAGTCTATCTGTGCTACACACTTGTCTGACATAATAATATGCGACTAAGTATTATGATACGAAATAATAACGTTTGAGCATACATGTATACAACATCATATTTTCTTTAAAGACTATTTATTTTCTTCGAAAACCCACTCAAACATTGGACTCAACCACAGGGGCCTGTAACGCAAAAATAGCAGCTGCAGCCCGGGTCTTCGGCGTGACGTGCCAACGCTTTAACCACTAGGCTACCCCACCGCCCCGCTAACATCAAAGTGAGTGAGTGAATAGGGTTTTACGCCGCTTTTAGCAACATTCCAGCGATATCACGGCGTCTAAGAGTTCGTATTTACTTTTATCATGGTAGAATGGAGAAAACATACTAATCGATGTTAGAATGCAATTATGTACATATTTACTCACAAGCAACATTTTCATGTATTTCCACAAATGACTGAGCCTGTAAATGTTTAAACTGAAGGCATCAATATTCAACTTATTTCACTGCGGCCTGTAATCAATTCCCATTTGAACGGTACATATATATACAGAGTCCGACCCGAGTGTCTTTTGATATAAAAAAAATATATCAACTCGAGTCGATAAATTTTTTTTAAAATATGCTTGTCGAGGGTTTTTAACTTATATCAGCGTGTGTTGATATACATGTATTTGATATCAAAAGACACAAGGGTGAGATTATATTTATCATCCAAAATAATAAACAGTGATAAGCAGTGTCTTGGGTGTCAATAGAACTGTTAACCAGCAGTAGCAGTGAGATGAGTGATGTCATTTGTCACCCATGACTTCACAATGTTCTGCAAAGAATTGCGTTGCAGTTACTGCCTCCTAGCAGAGATCGCTTGATCTTACCCAAGCATATTCCCCGTCGAAGCGAATTTTGGATGATAAATACATTTATGACCTCGTGCATAATAATGAGCATAGTAACCGTGACCTAAACACTTCCACCTGACGATCAATACTGTAAGTTTCCCGGCATGGCGCGGTGTGTACGCTTTTACGTGCGCTTTCATGAGTAGAACAAAGAGCGGCGACCTGGACGTACATTTCATGGGAGATAACTCGTGTCATACTAGTACTTCAACAGTCCCGTTCGAACTGTATGGCGAGGCTCTGAGTGTCTACCGGTTTATTAAGTCCGGTATATTTGGATTTTAGTTTGAGCCAGAATCTATCTTTCAGTCAGCTCTTCAATACTTACATTTTGTTTTATCTGAGAGGAGATCAAAACAATTGCCTCAGGACAAATCATATTTTTCAGCATATGTTTTCTTCAGGTTAATCCCCTTCTTTGATTACCGATTTTTTAACCTACGTTTTAATACTGAAAGTTGTTATACGTAAGATAGATCACTGTTCGATCTACCTCATTCCATATATCGATACCCTTCAATATTTCTCGCCTTTGTTCACAATTCAAATCAAGCAAAGGACATGTGCACTTCTTTCCAAAACAAACCCCGTAAAGATCCGGGTTGGAACTGATCTTCAGCAACCGATGCTTCTCGTAAGAGGCGACTCACGGTATTGGGTGGTCAAGCTCGCTGACTTGGCTGATTCATGTCAACGCATCAAGTGTTTAGATCGATGCTCATGATGTCAATCACTGGGTTGTCTGACCCAGAGTCGATTATTCACAGCTGGAATATTGCTGAGTGCGTTGTTTAACAAACTAACAAACTTTACAATTCAATACGTACCCTTTCAAATGGTGGTAATTCACATGATCCTTATTGCCGTGTGTGATGTCTGATTGGTTGGTTTGTTGGTTTGTTGTTTTACGCCGCACTCAGCAATATTCCAGCTATATCACGGCGGTCTGTAAATAATCGAGTCTGGACCAGACAATAAATTGATTGATATCATGAGCATCGATCCACGCAATCGGGATATGATGACATGCATCAAACCAAGTCAGCGAGCCTGACCACCCGATCCCGTTAGTCGTCTCTTGCGACAAGCATAGTCGCCTCTTACGGCAAGCATGGGTTACTTAAGACCTATTCTACCCTGGATCTTCACGGGTCGGGTGATGACTGAAGACGACAGGCAAGATAATAACTGACTTAAACACTGTGTTTAGTGAGTGTTGTTAAAAGCCGCTGTCGACACTGATTCAACGACATCACCAAAAAACTGTAAATAGTTGAGAGTGATTCCGACAAACCTGTGGTTGATAGTACGATCAACGATTCTGTTTGAGGATAATCAGCCAGGGTCATGAGTTTGTGACCTTTGGATCGTACTG